TTCTTTTCCATTATAGGTTATTACAAGCTATTAAATATAGTTTCCTGCGCTGTACAGTAGGACCTTGTTGTTTATCTATTGTATATATATTGTTTGTATATGCTAATCCCAAACTCCTAATTTATCCCTCTCTCCACTTTCCCCTTTGGTAACTATAAGTTTGTTTTCTATGTCTGTGAGTCTGCTTCTGTTTTGTAAATAAGTTGATTTGTGTCATATTTTTAGATTCCACATACAGGTGATATCATATGGTGTTTGTCTTTGTGTTTCTGGCTCACTTCACTTAGTATGATGATCTCTAGGTCCATCTGTGTTGCTGCAAATGGTGTTATTTTATTCTTTTTTATGACTGAGGAGTATTCCAGTATGGAAATATACCTCAGCTTCTTTATGCAATCATCTGTTGATGGACATTTCTGTTGCTTCCATGTCTTGATTATTGTAAATAGTGCTACTATGAACATTGGGGTGCACATATATTTTTGAATTAGAGTTTCCTCTGGATATATGCCCAGGAGTGGGATTGCTGGATCCTATGATTACTCTATTTTTAGTTTTTTAAGGACTTTCCATACTGTTTTCTATAGTGGCCACATCAAATTACATTCCCACCAGCAATACAGGAGGATTCCCTTTTCTCCACACCCTTTCCAGCATTTATCATTTGTGGACTTTTTAATGATGGCCATTCTGACCAGTGTAAAGTGATATCTCATTATAGTTTTGATTTGCATTTCTCTGATAATTAGTGACATTGAGCATCTTTTCACGTGCCTGTTGGCCATCCGTATGCCTTCATTGGAGAAATGTCTCTTTAGGTCTTCTGACCATCTTTTGATTGGGTTGCTTGGTTTTTTGTTATCGAGTTGTACGATCTATTTGTATATTCTGTAAGTTAAGCCTTCACCTGTTAACATCATTTGCAAAGATTTTTCTCCACGTCTATAGGTTGTCTTTTTGTTTTGCTTATAGTTTCCATTGCTGTGCAAAAACTTACACGTTTAATTAGGTTCCATTTGTAGATTTTTGCTTTTATTTCTATTGCCTAAAATAGAACTCTTGACATTAACTCCCCTCCAATCTTCTCTTCTTAAAAAATGACACTATTGCTCCCTAGAGGGGCAGGCCAACAACCCAAAAGTCGTTCTTAATTTCTCTCTTGCCCTCACTGCCCTCACTTCCTCTATCAAAGTCATTTGAAATCCCTGTTGGGGTTTAAATCTGGACATTTCTTTCTACCCTCTTTTGCCAATCTGCTTTAAGGCAACAGCAGCCCTTGCCTATTCCACCGCCACAGACTTCAGATTGGCCTTTCCACTCCCACTCTCTTCCCTGACCCCCAAGTCTGTCCTCAGAGTAAGTCTTTTCTCTTCTTTTTTCTTTTCTCTTTTTCCCTCTTTTCTTTTCTTTTCTTTTTATACAGCAATCAGTGTAAATATTTTAGAACACAGATCTAATTAGAACAAATCCTTCTTCTGTCCCATCCCCCGAACACTCGCACAAACTTTGCAATGGTTTCCCATCACACTGAGGATGTAACCTCGTCCTTACTGTGACCCAAAACCCTCCGTGACCTGGCCATGCCTGCCCATCCATTCTCCTCTTCTCGGGCTCTCCCTTAGCTCGTGCCATGCCAAGCACCGCAATATTTAAGCCTTTGTTTTCCTGGAACACTTCAAGTTTTTTATTCAAGGGAGACATTGCTATCTCCTGCCCTCTCCACTTGGAATGGTCACCCCCTAGATATCCATAGCTGATTCCTTCTCATTCAGTTCTCTTTTCAGTTATCACTTCCTCAATGACATGTGAAGAAAAGGAGGAAGAGAGGAAGGGGGAAGGGAGAGAGGGGAGGAGGGTGGGAGGGAGGAGAGAGCGAAGGAAGGATGGAGAGAGCAAAGGAAGGATGGAGAGAGCGAAGGAAGGATGGAGACAGGAAGAAGGAAAAGTAAGGAGGACAAGGGGAAGGAAGAAGGGAGGGAAGAAGCAAGGCAGGAGTTGAGATTCCACAGCTCAGTTTGGAGCAGAAGATAAAACTGGAAGAACCAGAGATTATTCGTGCGATGTTAAGTGCAGCATCTCTTTCCCGGTTGTAACTAACAAGGGGTTCTTGCTTGTAAAGCACTTCAAGTTCTTTATGTGAAAGCCTTAGACTCAGTGTATTACACTGCTCCATTATTCTATTTGCTGCGATGCAAGTGCATTCCCAAACACTGAGAGGAGTAAGGAAAAGCGCAGAAATATATTACCAGGGTGAACAGAGACGAGAAGGAACAAGCATATGAGTGACCTGAATGTTAAAGGCAAACATTTCAGTCCAAAGATCAACTGCAAATTCAAGTGGAGAGAAGCAAATGAATGGATTTAAAGAATTATTAGTCTGAAAGAGTCTGGAGCTTTTTAGCCAAAATGCTGTGAATTTTAGATGGAATAAATCCCATATAGGCTTTCCAAGGGCTGAGCGATGCTCAGGAAAGTTTCAGAAAGGATGTCTGCATTCGTGTGCCCAGAGTCTATTTCTCTCTTATTTGAACGATCTTATTAAATATACAATAATGTTAATACAGACGCACGTTCCTTAAAGCAGGAATTGGTCCCTTGATAATGAAGTGGGAAGACCCACTTGGGGAAGGTATTAAAACCATCGCTCACTTTCACAATGACTCTAATCCCAAAGTAGATGTCCGCGTTCCGCTGGAAAGCGGAAAGATGATCATTACAGCCTTCTACCTGGTGAGAAGCTTGCCAATGTCAATCTAACGGCATGTGGAAAAAAAATCGCACTTTCTTTGAAAGAGCTGAGTGATTTGAATATAAATAAGCAACTCTTTCCGCCTGTCAGTTACCCCAAGAATATTTGGTATTGTCTCCTTTAATGACTGCTCATTACAGATGAGTGCCAGCGAGCAGATTTAATCAGGGTAATACGGGGTAATCATCATGTGAATCTCTCCACATCAGGATTTGTTCCATCTGTTCCGAGCCATTTGTCCATGTAAAACTGTCACCATTCCGAGCTGATGACTGACAGGTGAGGCCAGACTTATACACTTTTCATCTCAGAGTCAGAAATTCTCTGGTGTGTCTTTCTCACTAAAACAAATGGCTTTAAAGACACAAAGAGCTTCTCTATGCAGGACCATTTTCCCCTCTGTTTGGTTTGTTGTGTTGCTCATTGAAATACTTAGCTCACCCTCACTCAGCGCAAGAGCAGACCAACCTCCATCCTTATCTTGATGGACGTGGTAGAACCTAAGGGGGAGGCTGGACCACGCAACCTCAGAGGTCTTCCCAGCAGCACTGAAATGCAGCCGCCCCCAGGGCTGAACGGGACATTGGTTCAGGGGCCACATGACTGCTGCGCCCCTAGGGACAGATGTCTCCTTTTGCTGTCCTTCCATATAAGAAGTGCACGTCTCTGGGAGCTGGTGGCACTTGTCCAAGAACAGTGTGCCTTCAGCAGCCTTTGTGTGTGCTCGCTGAAGAGAATGGGGATGGAAATTGTTTAATGAAAAAAAGTAGCGTAAGTCTCATAAGTTTTTATCTTTTACTCCACGGGTTCCCACATCAGAAGACCTGTTCTACGTGAAGTCACGTTTTCTAGGAAGAATTGCTTCTCCTCCCCAAGCTAGCTCTGACAGAAGTCATAATAGAATATTTGACCTAGAATATTCAAGAATCAAGATGCTTGAATCCAAAAGACAAACAGCATGTTAATAAGTAGAATTGGACACAGCTATTTCCTTTAAGTCTTTGGAGTGCGGTGTGTGATCGCCGTGAGCTCCCTGTCAGTGCTGAAGGACTACGTTGCTATTGTAGACTCGGAATAGAATTTTTTTTTTTCCAGTTTTCCCTTCAGGGTTACCATGACTGTTTGGCAACACTGAAGTGCGAGGACCAGGCACCATGTTAACGTCATGGCAATACTGGGGTGCCAGGGAGGAGGCAGATGCCGGTTCTGTGACCCGATGTCTCTAGGAACAGAGGGTAGAAAACAAAAGCTCTCTTTCAAAGTGACTTTGTAGTATTTCTTTCTCCTTCCTTTGCTATGAAGCCCCTAATATAATTGAGTTTGGTTCTACTTAGCAAAGCTACCACCTGCCCAACGCCCAAAGGGTGAATGCACTCCGGGGATGACAAGGCCCGGGTACGCCCTCCCAGGGCGGAGCTGCCAGGCGCAGGGGGGCACCTGCACCCGCAGGCGGAGTGACCCGTGCGGTGACGGAGGGCGGACTGAGAAACCACGGATGCGTAAAACACGCAAAATAGGCAAGTTCTCAGTCATTTTTTCCTTCCCCCCGAGGGAGAAGAAGGAGGTGTAGGTAGATGGTCATGCTTGAAGCTGGGGTTGTTTTGATCGCATCCACTCACGAACTGCCTCCCTCAACGCCTCCTTGAAGATGTTCCTGGCTGTTCCGACGTCGCATTGAAGTTGTGGCACAAAGAACAAGGTAGGGACCTACGTGGCGCAGACACTCCACGTTCAGAGGATGAGAAAGTAACCGGATAGTTACTGTCAGCGCTACTGGTTTCGTACGGGTTCCCTTCCAGTTTTCTCAAAGTAAGATTCATCCTGAGCGCCCTTTATGACACCTTCGGATGAAGCAACAGGGACCCATAAGGACCCGTGCCCCTTGGGGGTCTGCTGGGACCGTTACGATCAAGTGGCAGGTTGGAAAGGCTCCAACTCCACAAATGTTTAATAAGCTCTGCCCCCGCCTTGTGCTCTGGTGGTGAATTTTCCAAAGGACCAATTTAGTTTTATGGCACATTGTACAAGGAGGCTTGAGATTCTGAATGCCTTGGGGACAGAAACTGCTTTATCCACCTTTGTCCCCACAGTGTCAAGACAGTGACGTTCCACAGGGGGTGATTTTGCCACTCAGGGAACATTCTGCAACGTCTGGAGACTTTTGGGTCGTCACACTTGGGGCGGGGGTTATCCTGCTGGCATCTGGGGGTAGAGGCCGGGGGGTGCTGGTAGACATCCTACATGGTGCAGGGCAGCAACTCCCCAATAAATACCCAACCCCAAATGTCAGCAGTGTCAAACTGAGAAAACCTGATTTAGCATCTGACTCCTCGCACGGAAAATATTCTAATAAACGCTAACTTAATTTTTCCAGAAATAGTCTGCTAGGTAGTTATAACAACAAATTGAATCATGTCGTCTTTTATCATTACTTTCCCCCCCGGGACAACTAGCTCACATCATAAAATTATCATAGTTCTGAAAAAATAACGGAAAAGTTCTGAAGCCCTGCATTATCCCGTAGGGGGCTGGTTACTGGTGGGAGTGGTGTTGAATGACTGCTGGTTTTCTTGTATACCACCTTCCTTTGAGCTTTTGACCTCTCGTGCACATACGCGTGTAAGCCTAATTATTTTACATCTATATTTTGTAATGCTTTGTATTTTATCACATATATTTTATCATATGACTGTTTTAAATTCTAGGCGGTCCTGAACGGCTCACCCAGAGCGTGTTGGAAAACAACTACTTAGGGCTTTATGTTGCTGATAGTACTGTGTCATGAGAGCAGAAATGATGGTTTCAAAACAGTTTTCTGTAAAGAATACCTCATAAACATTAAGTAGAAACACACCTATAGGCACAATGAAGTATTCACAGTGGAGGTGACGGATGGAGGGGCTTCCACTGATTGTGTAGCGGAGGGGCCCGAGCCCCACCCCTGAGGGTGTCTGATTTCACCATTTGCTTGTGATGAATCTGAAAGCTGAGTAGACCTGGAAAATGCAAACACCATCATTAAGAAGCAAATTGTTGCTAGAGTATCTCTTTCGTATTTGACTGCCGGGAACAAACTGAGAAAAGAGTGATACAAACAGATGTCCCCCACGTTCCTACCTCACTGCCTTTCTTGTCAGCGTCGTGTCCCCCAAAGGGGTCCTAATCTCATTGAAGAAAAACAAAAAACTTGAATAATCCAAACTGTCCCCAAATCTATACCTACCTTCTTTTTTTTGTAGTAACTGATTTTTTCTTCTCAAAATGCTGGAGTCACAGCTCATTAGCCATCTTCTCTTGACAGTGATTCAGCTTCTCCTTGGGCTTTTTGTAAATGCCATCATTGTGGTTGTGCACGGCACGGGCTTGATCAAGCACAGAAAGATGATTCCGTTGGAGGCCCTTGTTTCCTGCCTGGCGATGTCCAGGATCTGTCTAGAGCTGGCCATCTTCTACCTTAATCTGGCTGTTTTTAACTTGATTGACATCCGTCAGTTTGTCGGGAAGTTTGTGATTCTCTCCTTTGTAAATGAACTGGGGCTGTGGTTTGCCACATGGCTCAGCGTCTTCTACTGCATTAAGATTGCCAGGATCGCTCACCCTCTCTTCCTCTGGTTGAAGCTGAAGATCTCCAAGCTGGTTCCTTGGCTGATTCTGGGGTCCCTCCTACATGCATCTAGCACCTGTGTCTTCCACAGCAAACAGCCATGGATCTTTTCCGAAGACCTCCTGGGCTTTTCCTCTCAAAATGCAACAGCTGAAAGCGAAGACATCGCTACTTTGCGGTTCGCCCTTCTCTTCGCTGAGCTCTCCTTGCCGTCACTCATCTTCCTCATTTCTGCCCTGCTCCTGCTGGTCTCCCTGGGGAGACACACCTGGCAGATGAGAAACACAGCCGCAGGCCCTTGCCCCCGTGTGCACATCAGGTCCCTCCTGTCCATCTTCGCCTTCCTGGTCCTCTACCTCTGCCACTACCTGACGGTTCTTTTGCTCTTTTCTCAAGTTTTCAAACTTACAAGCCTCAGATTTCTGTTCTGCATCTCGCTGGTTGGTTCCTGCCACTCCGGACACTCTATTATCTTAATTTTAGGAAATCCTAAACTGAAACAAAATGTGGAGAAGTTGCTCCTCCATAGAAAGTGCTGTCAGTGAGAGAGAACTTTGATCCCTTCAAAGAATTGGCCATTCAGTGAGGTAAGAGTGCCTGCCGCGCCTCCCCCAGCCAAACAAAGAGGCCTGTCCATAAATACACAGAACGTCAGCTAAAGACTGTTTGTCCAAACTGAGACATTTTTGTGGATTGGTTCCTTTGTCAAAGGGTTACAATGATTTTCAAAGCATAACACATGTGGGTGGATGACATCAGTGTCAGTTTTCTCGCTGTGACATTATTCCATCTTCTTGCAAGATGTCACCTAGTTGGGGAAGGCTGGGTAAGTGGTGGGGGGACCTTTCCATATTGTTTCTTCCAACAGCATGTGAATCTACAAGTATCTCCAAATAAAAAGTTCAAAGGAAAATGAAAGCACATGTTTGAACGTGTGGTGTCAGAAGGTGGCACGGATGTCGCAGAGACGCCGTGTTTCTGATGTCCTGTCTTAGAGGACTCATCCTGACTGAGATGGCCGCCTGCTCATTTCTCGTCTACCTGGATATTATTTCTGCTCTGCTTGTTAGAGTCACAGACAATAGAACCATTTTTCCCCATCAGATCAGAGAGGAAGCCGAGGACAGCCTGGCCTTCTCTGTCCGTGTAAACAGGTTCATCTTCTCCATGCTGCCAAGATCCCAGGTGCCATGGTGACGTGTCCCATCACATGACAAAAAGACAGACAGATGGAAGAGGACAAAGAATCCAGGGCTGAACCCTCATTTTTCCGTTTCCCCTAACTGGACACACTGAACAGACAATAGCTTGCAGAGATATTTCATTATGCACTTCTGTGCTCAGCTTTGGGACCCTTTCAACTGATGCTGGCAATTTGGAACTCCTATCACATTGCATGTCTTCCCAATGAAGCAACATCAGTAGGCGAGTGGGCTGGGGGTGTTTCCCATCTGCTTGAAGTCACAAATGCATTTTCTGTCTGGCTGATGATGTTGGAAGCTAGGAGATATACATATATTTCTAAATCAACTTCAGAATCCTTTAGCTTCTAGTGCAGCAAAAGATGGTCCTCATTTTGGCTGTAGCTTGTAGTTCACATGTGATGACAGCAAATGTGTTTAGGTTTGGATTTGCCAGTCACCAATAAAGAGGATTCAAATATCAGTTTACACACCCAGGATATGCAGGCCTGTTTGTACCAATCTGAAGTCTTTGCTTTAGAAGACGCAGGGCAGCGTTCGTCCTCCCGGGTGTGGGAGAGCTCTGAGGCTGCTCCTCTGCTTCCCGCAGGTCTGATACTTCCATCTCCAGAGCCAAATAACAGCCTCCATCTTCCCGCAGTTTCATTTCCCCACATCCCACTAGGCGGACAGTTTCTCACTAACGGTGCTCTCGGGTGGCCAGCTCTGGGAAGAGCCGCTGTGTTCTGGAGGTGTTGATACCTCCTGCTTTGGGAGGGACAGTGAGGAATCACTTGTAATTTCTGTTCATCTCAGGTTCAGATGCCTTCTCCCCGAATCATGGTGTGTATTCTCTGCAGGTGGAGAGAGGGAGAGTGGGAGTGATTTCAAATATTCAGGAAAAAACCTCTAAATATACAATTCTCATGTGGCTTCTTTACTCAGATGCCAAATTCTCATTCAGCTCTGCTCTAGTAAGGCTGGTTAATGAGATGAATATTAAGGTGTGACTGTCTGGGTGCTTAAACGTTACCAAGAGTGCTATGAAAGATAAGGCGTGCTAAAGCAGACACTTCTGGAAACACTTTCACAGTCTACTTTCCTGGAAACATATTTCCTCCAGGGCCGCTGCCTCGCTATCACGCTGATGGAGATTGCGCAGGACACGCGTTGCTCCACTGTAGAAGCTAAACAGAGTCCGCGCTTTGTCTTTCCGGAGCCGCCCTCGTCTGGACTCCCGCCCGAGCCTTGACGAAATTTGTTTGTCCCGCTCATTTAGCCTGGGGTTAGCTTCCATAGTGGTACGCCATCATCCTCCACCCCATCTCTGCATTTTTTGAGATGGGGCCAGACGCTGTCGCCCCAGGAGCCTTGGTTGCAGGATCATACACCCACGGGTCAGGAGGGAGGACTGCTGACTGCGGGACGAGGCACTGTCCCCCATTCCTCCACCTCCTGCAGCTCCCCCAGGAGATGCAGTGCCCCTGCTCAGCCAGGAGCCAAGAAGACGGGCAATGAGGTAGGCTCTTCTGAGAAAGGAGCCCACAGGAGTATTGCATTCCATTTCAGAGAGAGGGTCCGATGAGTGCCCCCAAACCAGAAGATGCGTCTTGCTGCGCGTGTCCAGCTCTCCATCCTGGTTTTGACTCCTTCAGCACCCAAGTTCCAGGGTTTTTTTTCTCCAATTCTCCAGGGTTTCAGTGACCGTGCGACAGTGACTTCCACCGAGAAGGCTAAATCTGTGTGCTTATGTAAACAGATTTCTCAAAATGTAAATGCTCTCACAATTTGAATATTAGAAGATAAACGCCACAGTTTTAAAAGTCTCGCAAATTAAAATTGCCTTTTAAATTCTCAGACTCTCATTCCAATGTAGTAACTGACTGAAGTTAAGGTAATCTGGACCTGGAAAGGGTAGGAAGACGTGAACATTTAACGTCTACCCGCCTTCTTTAGGCTAACGACCACCCATTCTAGAGCCTTCAGACAGTTTAAATATTACACCTCGTTACATACCTAAGTGCTGTCATTCTTGTCAGACTATAAATATTCTAATTTTAGCCTTGGGAAATACGTTTCCAAAACTTCTCTGCGTGTAGACCTACATCTCTTGGGGTGAGAGGAGGGACGGGTTGTCAGAAATTTCCGAGAAAGAAAAGAAGCTAGCCAGAGCACCCAAGTCAACTCTGGCCATCAGTGGGATGACAGACGATGCAGACAGATGGCGCCCATGCTGGAGAAACATCCAAATGCAGGGGCAGGGAGACCCACATGTCTGAAAAGCGGTCTTACTAGGGTACAAGTTTGGAATCACGTTGCAGATTGTATGAACACACACTTAATGTCCGTGGGATAGTCTTCTTTTAAAAAATTATTCTTTTGCCACCTAATCGATGTAGATAGTCATCTGAAAACTTTATTTCAGAGAGAAGGCTGGGGACTGGGAAAATCTGCCTCAATGAGCTGAAAACACTAAGCTTTTGGGGAGAGTCAACAGAAGTTCAGAGAGCTGCTGGGCCTGTGTCTCCCTGCCTTTCTATGCAAAGCTAACACCTTCCTCTCTCTTCTCGATATATTTGACCATCTGACGCATCACTCCACACCTTTGCAGGACAAAATAATGATTGTTTTTAAGATGTGATGGAAACATTTGGCTTCATATCTGTGACATCTGGATCTACTTAATCCTTCTGGTTGAGGGTCAGGTTGGTGATTTTATCCTATAATTTAAAACATATTCAAATCAATGGCGTGTGGGTTTCTTTCTCTCCTTCTGGTGTTCTGTTTGTTTCTGTTTTAAATGTTTCTCCACAAGATCATCAGTGTAACAAAATTTTGAATAAAATATCTACTTACATCTCTGAAAGCATGTCCATTTTTAAAATGACGAGAAAGGATTCATCTTACTTAAACCTCAACAATCCTGAGGAATAAAACACATTGTGACCCTGTTTCTGTTTTTGAGGTTGGAATGCATGATCTTAAGTGAAATCTTTAGTCTCTGTTAACTAAACTCTCTTCTTTCTATAGCTGTACAGGTAATGCAATATAAGCAAACGCTAGCGTGTAATCAGGTGGACTCTGAATTTGGAACTCTAAGGCCCCACGGCTAGGCTGGGCCCCGCACTTGGTAAGCGTGCTCTGAATGACCTAAATTCCAGAACCACTGGGGAAACTTCAGATTCTTTTGAAGATAAGCAGGTGGAAAAGGGTTGGAAAAAATAAGTGGCCAATAATGGGATAGGATGTTGTATTACTAAATATACGGAATGCCCTCTGGCCACAAGCTCACTCCCATGGACAGCAAATGCTGTGCTTGCGACTGCAAGTTAATGCATCTTACTTCACTTGAAACCCAGAGAATTGGCTTCCAGAAAGCCTTGGCCAGATATAGTCAAAAAGCTCAGATAAATATTCCCCAGTATATTCACCACTGCCTGTCTGCTGTCATACTTGAAGTTCTTGAAACAAGGGCTGGTGTCTTTGATCATGGAGGCATGATGTCCTTAACAGCACAAGGTGAGGGTGGATGTGGAGGCCAACTATGGGAGGAAAGAGGAAACCTTGAGCATCATATTTTAGACTGGGGGGCTAAGTGGATTTGTGTAACACTTTACAAAGACTGGAAACTCGTCCATACACAAGGCAAAACCACTGACTTCCAAAGCCAGTAACCTGATCTGTTCAGCTCTTTCTACAACTGCACCTGCTTCTTTGGGTCATTTAAGCAGCTTCTGAGCAATGCCATAAGCGCAGGGATGAGCTGATCCTCTGTTCCTTAATCTGTAAAGTGGGGATAATAATGATAGATTCCACACACATCACAAAGTTCCAGGTACATGACTGTGAGCGCTAATGAACGCAAACCCCAGGTAAAGAGAAACACAGTCCAAAGTGATCTCCAGCAACACCTTGGGAGGGGAGGGAGCACTGGAAAGGAGCTTGTTGAACAATAGAGGGTCATAAAGCCTGATTTGGACTCTAGATCCATACCCATGAGCTGGGTAACTTGATGAGCCTGAGCCTCATGTTTCCTCATCTTCGAAATGAGGGTACAGATAATTCCAGGCTGAACAAGTTACGTTGATGAGCCAGTGGAATCCATGCCTGGCTGACAACGAGGACTGTTTTTTTGTTGTTAAACGTGACCACTTTTGACCTGCAAAAATGACAGTTTCATACACATCAGCCTAATAACCAATCAAAGAAACAATCACAGGGTTTGGACGAGAGCTGATTCCAGATGAAGGAAGCAGCAGGTGCAGACTTATCTGGCAAAGAAAGGAAATAAAAACATAGGAAAGTACAAGAGTGAAAGGGGAAATGAAGGGCGTATCAGATGGCTTTGCTGCAGAGACGATGGGGCCAACATTTCAGTCCTCATGGCCACGAGTTCCCTCCCACGTCCGTTGCCTGATGGCTGTGGATCTGCAGCAGCCCTCTTGCTGTTCTGAGTCCCGAAGGAGCAGCCCCAGTTTGGGATGTGCTGCTCGTGGGCAGAGGGAAAAGAACAAAGGCTGGGGAGTCACACTGCAGTCCTAAAGCTTCTGCTGTATCACTCCCAGGGGCAAGTGGCCAAATCCGATGTAAAGAGGGGAGAGAGATGAAATCTTATAGCAGCTATTTGGGAATAAAAATGACTCTACCATATGGGAAAGTAAAATGGTGAAGCTGCTGTGCAAAACAGCCTGGTGGTTCCTGTGAAAGTTAAACACAGAATCACCACATGACCCAGCAATTCCACTCCCAGGTACATGCCCAGGAGAACTGAAAACAGAGACTGGAACCAGACACCTGTACTTGGATATTCACAGCAGCATTGTTCACAATCACGCAAAAGTGGAAACAACCCA